TTCTGGAATTCCTTAAGTCTACATTTTTAATTTCAATGAAGAGGTTTATTTTATGAATGATGATGGTTTCCAGTGGGTCAGACAAGTGTCATTTTCTGGTGTGGTCTGTATCCTGAGTGCGATGTGGCACTGGTGGCAGCCAGGCCCGCCTGCCGTGCTGTGGACCTGCTCCCAGGGCAGTGCTGGCTGAAGCTGGCATCCAGGCCTCCTCCCTGCACCTCCCTGGGAGGGAAAGCAGGAGGCCTGAGACTGCTGGAGCAGGGGTGGGCACAGGGTGGCAGAACTTCTGTGTTCCTGCTGCCTTCTCAGGACAGCTGCTTGGGTCAGCAGAGCTGTGTGAGATGAGAAGAGTGCCAGCTTTGGGTGGGGTCAGGTCTGGCCCCGTCCCGCTGCTGGGTGGTGGTGGCATCTTGAACTCATGCTGTGTCTCCCGAGACGCAGGGTACACGGGCAGGTGCTGGCGAGAGGCCTGGCCCAGGGCTTCTTCCGCTCCAGCCTGGCACCTAGTAAGTGAGCCAGTGCCCTGGACATGGCCGCTGTGAGGCTTGGGGAGGTGAAATCTTCCCAGGGCAGTGGAGGGGTGCAGCCAGGGATGTCCTCTTACCTGGGGCGTGTGGGCTTAGTCACAGCTACTCCGTTCACAGTCCTGCTCGATTCCCCAGAGTGCCTGTGATTGCCAGGGTGAGGCACGGAGGGCTTGAGAGACCATTCTGCAGATGGGAAGGCTGAGGCCAGGAGAGGGAGAGGGACTTGACTCGTGTGCCTGGCCCATCGGAGGCAGGGTGGGACAGGCAGGTGGTGCCCACGGCTCCTGGCACACGCTGCCGTCTCTGCTGCCTTGGGTGGGCTCTGACATTTTCCAGTGATCACTCAGGCCCATGGGCAGTGGATTCGCCACCTGGGAGCTTCCCTCCCGCTGTGCCAGCCTCCAGGGTGTGGGTGCCTCCTGAAGGGTGTTCTGGGCTTTGAAATCCCTGAGATGAAAGGCGGGAGCGTGGGAGGTCCCAGCCTCTCCTGAGGTATCTGTGGGCCGCCCTCTTGCTCCTGGCACACACCCAGGCCTGGCACAAAACCACCCAGCAGTACCTAGCCCACCACCCACATAGGAAGTACCCCGTCCCACCCCTCTGCTCCCCTCAGACAGACCTCAGACCATGGAGCCAGGGTCCTGAATGTGCAGTGCCTGGGTTACTGCTGCTGTGGCACTTGAGCAGGCCCAGGCAGTGTGGCCTGAGTGTGGCCTGCTGCTGAGGGCCAGAGATGTGGGAGTGGGTCAGCAGGCAGTGCCAGTCCTGGCTTGGCCACAGGTGGCTGTGGGACTCAGGGCCTGGCTTCCCGCGTCTGTAAAATGGGAGGATCTCAGTGCTCACTGTAGACGTCCCAATTCCACGAACTCACCCACGCCCAGAATCGACCAGGTCCTGGCACACGGGAGGTGCTTGGAGACACCAGCCTTTTTGCCTTTCACCATTATTCCCAGACTTTCACCTTGAGCCCCTGTGGAGTGGGCAGAGGGGCTGTCTCGTCCCGGCCACTAGCCACTCATCCCTCTGTGTCCTATCCACCAGCCACTCCTCCCTCTGCCTTCCCGAGGGATGAGCCTGGAGCGATGAGGGTTGGTGCAGCCCAGGCAGGCATCTTGGGGCACACTCACAGAGGGCTCTTCCTGCATCTGCTGCGGGTCCAGCCTAAAGCTGGGGTCTGGCACAGGGCAGTGCCTTGGAGGGGTGATCTGGGATGCCTGGCCCCTAGTGAGTGTGCATTTGCATCAGTGAGCTGTCAAGACTGATGGGGCCACCTTGGGGTGCCATGGCCTTCCTGTGGGTGTATCTGTAGCTGGGGGGAGCAGGCACATGGTGGGTCCCATCGTGGCCCGTGCTGACCGCCCTCCTGTGGCTTCTTGTCTTGCAGATTTCTCCACCCAGGTGAACTCGTCCCTCACCTCCCCAACAGGCCGAGGCTCCATGGCTGCCCCCTCGCTGCACCCGTCCCTGGGGCCTGGCATTGGCTCCCCAGGGCAGCTGCACTCCCCCATCAGCACCCTGAGCTCCCCCATCAATGGCATGGGTCCGCCCTTCTCTGTCATCAGCTCCCCCATGGGCCCGCACTCCATGTCGGTGCCTGCCACACCCACCCTGGGCTTCAGCACTGGCAACCCCCAGGTGAGTGTGGGGCTGGGGCAGGGGCAGGGGCAGGGGCAGTGGGCGGGGTGGGCCTGGGGTGGAGCCTGGAGCAGGGCTGTGGCTTCCCCTGCAGGATGTCGCCTTATCTTGAGGCCTCTTAGAGGTGGCTGCTGAGGTCTCCCCGCTTGATTTGGGAAACATCCTTGGGGAGCTGCGGGCTGCAGGGTTCTGAGCCCAGGCCTGGCTGACTGCCGAGCTGGGCCATTTGGATCATCAGCCGAGGTGCCTTGCAGCGGGTCCTCTGCCCACGTGGCCCTGCCCATGCTGGAGGGCTGGGGGACTCCCTGTTTCCGTGCCTGGGGGGCTCAGCAGGGAGAGGCCTTAGCCTGCTTTCCCAAATGCCTGTGGCCACACAGCCTGGGTCCTCCCCTGAAGTCTGCTCACACTCAAGCCAAAGGTCCCCCTGGGAAGGCTTGTTCAGGCTCAGGGCAACTGTGTCCCCACCAGGGACACCGGGCCTTGGACCTGCAGTGGCTGGTGTAGCAGCGGTGCTCTGTGGTCTTGGCTCCCTGTGGCTCTGTGGGTGCCTGGCCATCTGTGGGGCTTGGGGACCTTTTCCACAGTTGGGGTTTGCTCAGTCACTTTTCCAGCTCAGCCTGGGCCTTAGGGCTGTTTCTGGATCAGGATGGGCTGGTGCTGGCAGAGCCTGGCACAGTCCAGGTCTTGTCTTGAAGAACTTGGGGACCCCTCCTCCCTCTGGGAAGATACCCCAAGTGTCTCTCGTGGAGTCGTCCCTAGCCCCAGGATCTCCTATCTGTGAGGATGGAGGGCAAGGCTGGGCCTCCTACCCTGGCCCCCAGTGGTTGCTTGTGGATTTCTACCAGGCTTTCCCTCTCCAGGGGCTCCATCTGCCCCGCCCCAAATGGGCAGGGGTGCTCCTTCCACTCTGGATTTCTATGTTTGGGTTTAGCTCTTTGTCTAGCAGCTGAAGGCTCCATGGCAGAGTTTTGGTGCCATCTCAGGACTGCCCACCAGGGTGGGACTTGCCCTAGCAGCTTCTCTGCCCACAGTCACACAGCTGACGGTGCCAGATGTGTCCTGTGGACTCCCAAGCCCCCTGCTGCCCTGTCTCAGTTTACCTAGGTCAGGCACTAGGCCCAAGGGATTGCATGTGAGGGGGCCAGGAGGCAGCAGGTGGACACCTAGCCCCAAGCACCCATGCCACCTCCCGGATAGCCGAGGACTGCGCCTGGTCCAGGCCTGCTGTGCTTGGGGTCTGGAGCCGGCCCACTGCCCATCCACCTGGCCCATTTAGAGCTGGCCATGGTGTCCCGAGCCTGTTTCCCCTGGAGAATCTTTCTGGCTTTCTGGGCCAACGCCATCAAAGCCCTCTGCTCTGTGGGACATATGCAGAAGAACTGGCGCCCCTGCTTCGTGTCCTGCTCACCTCACCTGACCTTCCAAAGGCAGCCAGGAGGCCCAAGGTGCTGGCACAAGGGAGGCCTGGCTATGTCGTTTTTAGCACACCAGCCCTGCCCCTGCTGGTGGCACGGTGCCCTGTGGCGAGAGGGCGATGAAGACTCGTCTTCCACCTGTCCCTTGGCTTGCTGGCCGGCACCTACGGGGTCCTCCCAGGCCTGTCGCCTGCCCTGGACACCCAGGAGTCTAGTGCACAGTTGGTGTTCCCAGAAACCCAGGGGTGCCTGGTGTCCTCAGCACTGTTTGGCCCTTTCTGCTTTCTCCTGTGCAGCCAGGCCTCTGGCACACAGGAGGGGCTTGTTGAAGCCGAGTTGCTCGGGAGCACGTGCTGCAGACCCCTTGACACTGGCAAGGGCCCCAGTGGGGGGTGGAAGAGGAGCTGATGCAGGCTGCCCCAGATGCCCCTGCCTGGCTGCTGCTGGCGTAGGTCTGCTCGTCTCACCCGAAGTCGGTTTCCCTCGTTCTGAGGCCCATGCTTGACTTGGCACTGGTTCCCCAGAACCTGTAGCTCCTTCCCTGGGGGTTAAGTCCAGCTTCAGGACCTCAGCAGTTTGTCCTGGAAACCTGGGGTTCCTTGCATTTATGGGTGTGTGAGTAGGGTTTCAGGGGGGATGTGCCCCCACTCCCGGCCCCAGAACCACGACCGCAGAATCAGAGTTCCTGGAGCCAGAGAGGTGCTCTGACTTCTGCTGCTGTTGAGGAGGGCCAGGCACTCTGCCAGGCACGGCCTTCTGCCTGCTCCAGTCCATGGCCAGGAAGGGCCTTCCAGGTGGCTGCATCCAGGCCACTTGACCCCTCCTGGCGCGGGAATAGGCGTCTGGGGGTGCTTGGGTAGAGCCGGGCCAGACTGCAGCTGCCTGGCCCCTGAGCTGTCCCAAGTCCCCTCTGTGGTTTGGGGGGGACATTCCCCACAGTGGCCCAGAGCCTGCCTGGCTGCAGCTGGCTCACTTGCACATGTCACAGGTATTGGAGGAGTGAGTTGGTGCCAGCTTCCACATAGAGCACTTCCGAGTGCCCAGCATGGAGCTGGACTTGGTGTCAAGGCCTCTGAGCTCCCAAAGCCTCCTGGCGGGAGGGCCTGCATGGGGCCTGTGGGGCTGTGATGTGTGCACAGAGGCTGAGTGGGCTTCATGGTGTTGGAAGCAGGGTGGCACTGGTGCTGGGCACCTACCCGCCAGGGGCTGAGGTCAGAGGGGAGCATGGAGAGGAGCTGGTTTGCTCCTGCCTTGATGGATGGATGAGGCCTAGCAAGGCCGAGGGCTCTGCTCCTGGCAGAGTGGGCCTTCCCAGGTCGGGGCTGGTGAGGGACCCTGCAGGGGCTCAGGAAGGAAGGGTGTGGTGGGTGTGGGGAGAGAGCCAAGAGATGGGCAGGAGACCTGGGTGGGGCATCGAGTCGGCGGGAACTGAAATGAGAGCCAAGGATCTGAAAGGGGAAATGGGGCAGCCCGCACCCTGGCCACGCACGGGGTCCTGATGCTCCAGCAAAGCACCGATGGCCGCCTGGCTTTCTCTGAGCCGGAGCAGGGAGTGCGGGAGGAGACCCTGGATAGCTTCGGGGCTGTGGAGCCCACTGAGGGAGGGGCAGAGCAAGGCAGATCCTGGGGGGGCCCTGTGCTGCGCTTCCAGGGCTGTGAGCCAGTCCGAGGGCCAGCAGCCCTGGCTGGAAGGGTGGAAGAAGGTGCGCCTCGCCTCCCTGTCCCGGCACAGCGTCACTTCTGCAGCCTGGACCATCCTCTGGGTGAGCCCAGAGAAGCAAAGTGGGTATCCCCAGGGCCTGCAGCGAAATGGGCACCCCAGCCCGGCCTCCACTCCACTCCAGATGAGTAGGGGCTCCAGCCTGTGATCTGACTGAGGTCGGGGCAGCCAGGGATGCACCCCGAGTTCAGCCTGGGAGCTGGCTTGGCCACAACACTGAGAGGAAGGCCACAACACTGCCATTCCATGCTGCCACGAGCCCTTTCCCGGCCAGAGATGCTCTGGCGCTCCCTCAGTTTACCCAGGGCAGGTGTGAGGCCCAAGGGACTGCATGTGGGGGTCGGGAGGCAGCAGGTGGACCTCTATATACCCAGGGTGGCTTGGGGCAGCCTGGAAAGAGGAAATGGGTGAGTTCCTCTCCTTGGTGCATCCAAGCAACCTGGGCCTGCAGAGTCATGGCCTGTGCTCTCCAGCCTCTGGCCCGGGCCTCCTGCTCACATGCCTCGGTGCCTCTCCAGTGAGAGGGCACAAAGCGAGGTGTCTGACACTTCCTGCTTGTGGGCACTTTTGCTGCCCCTGTTTGGACCTGACCCTCGACCCTGGCTGTTCCAAATTCTTTCCTTTTTTCAAACGAGCCATTTGCTTCCCCAGCTCTGAACACTGGCCTGGGAGGCCTGCTGCCTGGGACACACATTTCTTCCTCCCAGGCCCTGGCCTGTCTCCTCCACTGCAGCCACCAGCCACCCTGTAAGGCAGCGAATTGTCTGCGAACTCTGCCCTGAGCAACTCTGTTACCCTCATATCGGTGCTCAGAGGCCCTGGCCGGGTGTGGTGGCTCATGCCTGTAATCCCAGCACTTTGAGAGGCTGAGGTGGGAGGATTGCTTGGGCCCAGGAGTTGGAGACAAGCCTGGGCAACATAGTGAGACCCCATCATTACAAACAAACAAAAAGAGCTGAGTGTGGTGGCATGACCCTGTAATCCCAGCTACTCAGGAGGCTGGAGGAGGAGGATGGACTGGGTACAGAATTTCGAGGCTGCGGTGACGATGATTGTGCCACTACTCCAGCCTGGGCCGTAAGTGAGACCCTGTTTTAGGGAAAAAAAGAAAAAAGAAGGCACTAACTTCGTTCCAGTGTTACACATGATGAAACAGGTCACAGAGTTGAAATAATTTTCCCAAAGTCACACGAGAACGGAGGAGGCAGAATCCAGAGCCAGGGGTCTGTGTCTGGGGCCTCAGTGCCTTCAGTGAGACAGTGACTAGACCAGTGAGCCTTGGAGGGCTGGGCCAGGCCTTGTCTCCTGGTGCCTCGCAGAGCCCAGCATGGGGCAGGGCTGGCTGGGCACTGAGTCTGGGCAAGCTCTGTCCCTCTCGGGGTTTCACTTGCCCCTTCTACAGCGTGTGGGGACCATGTGTGACCTGGGCCAGCCCCTGACCTCCCTGAGCCGCAGCCTCCGCATCTGGGGCCCCTGGGGTTCTCCATGCAGGGAGTGTGTGTCCAAAGCTTGGGCACCGAGACACTCAGCAAACGCTGGGGGGCATTCTTTTGCCCTTCAGTTCCGTCCCTTCTCTGAGAAGTGCACCTGGTGCCCGCGAACGTGAGCACTGGGCATTTGGCGAGTCACACAGTGGCCACCTGGTTCTTGGTGAACCTTCTGGCTCCCCCACTGTGCTACGGAGGGCCAGGAGGGCCTCCTTCAGCCCACCTGAGGCTCACAGGGACTAAGCATCCTTGCAGAGCCTTGCAGCCCACCTGGGCAGACTGAAGAAGGACCTAGAAGCCAGAACAGGCTGGGGCTGGAAGAATCATTCCAGGCGCTGGGGCCCCTGTGAAAGGAGGCTTTGGGGTGATTTCTGCTTTGCTTGCATTGAGCTTCAAACTCTTCCTGTCCCATGAGAAGGGGGATGGGATTTGGAGGCCTGAGGAAGGAAGGAGGGGAGCTTCCTGCGCACAGGCGGCAGCAGGGGTTTGCAGAAGTGGAGGCTGGGGGCTGGGGGCCGCCTGGCCGTGTGCTTGCCGCCCTGCAAAGCGGGCTGGCGGGCAGGATGAATCGGGAAGCGCCTGTGGGTCCCCTGCGCTGACTGCAGAGCTGGGTGGAGGCAGCGGAAGCAAAACTGCTGTGTCACTGCACGCGGCAGCTGTTGCCAGGGTGACCGGGTGAGTTTCCCACGCTTGCCCGGGCAGCAGTGTGCCGACGGGTGGGGCGGAGGGGTGTGCGGGGAGGCCAGTGGTGTCGTGCCACCCGATGCCCGGGGGTGTTCACTCCCCTCTAGTGTCATGTGACTAGAGCCCCTGCCCTGCGGTGTTGTGGGGTACATGTGTGGTTCTGGGGGGTCCCCAACCCTCCTCCATCCTGGGGATGGGGCCTCGGTGTCCTCATTTGTGGGTTGGGACCCCCCCAGAGCGCCTGCCTCATGGAGTGTCCCGGAGCACCCAGCAGGGCTGGGCACTGCCAAGGAGCTCAGTCATGAGAGGCAGCTCTCATTTAGGTGGGCAGTGGGCAGAGGGTGCTAGTAGGCAGTGCTTGTGTGTTGTGGGGGTGCCGAGGGGTCCTTTTCTGCAGAGGCCTGGAGTCTTCTGTGGGCAAGTCCTGAGGATGCCACAGCCTTTGCTGGCCTGGCTGAGCACACAGTGGCCCTGCTGCTTCTGGGCAGGGTGGCGGGTGGGGGCACAGCCCTCTCTAGCCTCGGTGCCTGTGTGAAGTGGGGGTGTGCTGCGCCATCCTTGCTGGTGTGTACCCCACTGACTGCTGTGGTTACCCCCCCAGCTCAGCTCACCCATGAACCCCGTCAGCAGCAGCGAGGACATCAAGCCTCCCCTGGGCCTCAATGGCGTCCTCAAGGTCCCTGCCCACCCCTCAGGAAACATGGCATCCTTCACCAAGCACATCTGCGCCATCTGCGGGGACCGCTCCTCAGGTACGGCTGCTTTGGGGGCTGGGGGCCCATGGGACAGGGCTGTCAGGCCACTGCAGGGTCTGGAGGCCTCCCCAACTCACCCTCCTCTGGCAGGACCCCCAGGCCAGGGTGCAGGGAGGCAGGTGCCTGGGCCATGCTCCATTCACCCCACTGAGCTCCCTTCCAAGGTTCTCACATCTGTGGGACACTGAGTGTTGGGTTGGGTGGGGCACAGGGCAGACTGAGGCTTCCAGAGAGGAGGCGGCTGCTGATGGCAAGGTCAGCATGGGGGCAGGCAGCGCTGTGCCTCCTCCCTTGGCTGGGTCTGGGCAAGGGGCTTATGATGTGCCACTGACCCTCAACAGCCTGAGAGGGAAGAAGGGTGCCCTCTTCTGGGCTGCACAGTGCAGACAGAGCAGCTGCCTTGCCAGGGGCCCTGGTTCCTGGGGGGCTGGGATTTGTCCCTGCCCTACTCCTGAGCTGTCCTTGGAGGAGCAGAGAGGGCAAGGCTGGGGCCCAGTCTGAGCCCAAGTAGGGGTCTGGAGACCAGCAGGGCCCTTCCTGAGGCCCGGCCAGCCAGCTGGCAGTGGTGGGGTGGGTTCCCCGAGGCTCGGTGGCTGCTCTCCAGCCCTGCCCCACCCCTCCCCACCCCGCAGGCAAGCACTACGGCGTGTACAGCTGTGAGGGCTGCAAGGGCTTCTTCAAGCGGACGGTGCGCAAGGACCTGACCTACACCTGCCGCGACAACAAGGACTGCCTGATTGACAAGCGGCAGCGGAACCGGTGCCAGTACTGCCGCTACCAGAAGTGCCTGGCCATGGGCATGAAGCGGGAAGGTAGGCCGTGGCGGGGCACCGGTGGGTGTTGGGCAAACGGGGGCCCGGGTTCCCTGCGTGGACGCCCAAGATAGACAACAGGGAGTGAGCATCCCAGACAGAAGCTCAGCAAGGCCGAGGGAGGAGTGGGGGCGGGGCCCTGGGTCCTGGGTCCTGGTTTGCATGCACTTTTGGGGGTGTGCCTCGATTCCTCCCATCAGGTCCTGTGTCCTGGGCCTCATGGGGTGGGAGATGCTGTCTTGGGTGAAGGTCTGCTGGCCTGTCCCTGTCCCCCAAGCTCTGCAGGACACCCTTCCTCTGTCCTGTGCCATGCCGCTCCCACAGCCCCACACGTGTGTGGCCGATGTATCTTACTTCCTTCCCGCCAGCCCCTGGTGGGGTTCCCAGGCAGGGCCCAAGCCACTGTCTCACACCAGGGATGTCCTGAGTGGAGGCCTGGTTCTGCCGTTTCATTTCACCTTCTTTTGTGTGACTGTCTCAGCCTTGGTGGTCCTCATTGAGAAGCCACAGTCTCTGCTGAGCCCCGTACCCCCGTAGGGCTTCCTCCCCAGGCCTTGGGTCCAGAGTGGCATCTGGGCTGGCATCAGGTCCTTGTGCATGCAGCAGTGCTGCCTTCTGGGGCTGGCGTGGCCGTGCTGTGTTGCCAGTCAGACCTTTCTGATGGGGAGGATGTTTCATGGAGTGCTGGTGTTTGCTCAGGCCCACCCTTGGCTGTGCAGGTTGGGAAACTGAGGCCAGAGGGTTCCGGCCTTGCTCAGGGTCACAGGCCATCCAGACCTTGTTGCTTTCACCAGAGGGTAGAGGAGCGTGTACCCATCCTGGAGAGGTGTAGGCCCAGCCCAGTTCTTCTGGGTGCCTGGGCTGGCAGGTATAGCTTTGACCCTGGAAGATGAAAACTGGGACAGGGGCAGGCATGGTGGGCAGCGGCCAGGGCCACTGTGCCAGGTGTGGAGACTGTCCTGTTCTGGAGTAGAGAGGCCCAAGGTGTAGCTGGAGCTGGGTAGAAGGCCCCCGCATGCAGCCTGAGCCTGGTTTACCCGGCGATGATGCCACAGCACAGGTTGAGCCGAGACTATGCTCAGCAACGCCAGGCCTGGGCGGACAGCAGTGAGCTCGCTGTCCTTTGAAAGTGATCAGCAGTTGACCAGGGGGGCCCCAGAGTACAGTCAGTGCAGGCTGCGGGGAAATCGGGCGCTGTGGGAGCCGAGGGGAGGCATCTGACTCTGCCCCAGGTACCCAGCAAGACTTAGGCAGGCAGGAGGGCTGTCCGGCTGATGCCTGAGGACACCTGGAAAGGTGTCCACAAGCCTGGCTGCAAGGAGCATCTGTGCAGTCTGAGACTGTCATCACACTCACCCTCAGAGGTTGGGGATGGCCTTTCTGTGTGGTGTGGCGTGTCTGTGGTGTATGGGTATGGGTGTGGGTGCTGTGTGTCTCTCTGTATGGTGTGTGTCTGTGTGTGTGGTATGGCATGTCTTTGTGTGTGTGGTGTGTCTGTGTGGTGTGTGTCTGTGTGTGTGGTGTGTCTGTGTGTGGGGTATGTCTGTGTGTGGTGTGTCTGTGGGGTGTGTCTGTGGGGTGTGTCCATGTGTGGTGTGTGTGTGTGGTATGTGTCTGTGTGTGCGGTGTGTCTGTGTGTGGGGTATGTCTCTGTGTGGTGTGTCTGTGTTGTGTATCTATGGGGTGTGTCTGTGGGGTGTGTCCATGTGTGGTGTGTGTGTGTGGTGTGTGTCTGTGTGTGTGGTGTGTCTGTGTGTGGGGTATGTCTGTGTGTGGTGTGTCTGTGGGGTGTATCTGTGGGGTGTGTCTGTGGGGTGTGTCCATGTGTGGTGTGTGTGTGTGGGGTGTGTCTGTGTGTGTGGTGTGTCTGTGTGTGGGGTATGTCTGTGTGTGGTATGTCTGTGTGGTGTGTCTGTGTGGGGTGTGTCTGTGTGGGGTGTGTGTCTGTGTGGTGTGTGTGTGTGGTGTGTCTGTGTGTGGTGTGTGTCTGTGTGTGTGGTGTGTCTGTGTGTGGTGTGTGTCTGCGTGTGGGGTGTGTCCGTGTGTGGTGTCTGTGTGGTGTGTGTCTGTGTGTGTGGTGTGTCTGTGTGTGGGGTATGTCTGTGTGTGGTGTGTCTGTGTGGTGTGTCTGTGTGGGGTGTGTTCGTGTGTGGTGTGTGTCTGTGTGTGGTGTGTGTCTGTGTGGTGTGTGTCTGTGTGTGGTGTGTCTGTGTGTGGTGTGTCTGTGTGTGGTGTGTGTCTGTGTGTGGTGTCTGTGTGTGTGGTGTGTGTCTGTGTGTGTGGTGTGTCTGTGTGTGGGGTATGTCTGTGTGGTGTGTCTGTGTGGTGTGTGTCTGTGTGGGGTGTGTCTGTGTGTGGGGTATGTCTGTGTGGTGTGTCTGTGTGGTGTGTGTCTGTGTGGTGTGTGTCTGTGTGTGGTGTGTCTGTGTGGGGTGTGTCTGTGTGTGGTGTGTCTGTGTGTGTGGTGTGGCATGTCTGTGTATGGTGTGTGTCTGTGTGTGGGTGTGTCTGTGTGTGGTGTGTCTGTGTGGTGTGTCATGTCTGTGTGTGTCCGTGTTTTTGTGCATAGTTTGTGTGCACGTGTGTGTGTGTGTGTGTGTGTGCTTCTCATGTTCCGATGCCTTGCTCTCGGCTGCAGCCCTCTCTCCAGGCTGCACTGACTCCTAAAGCCCCGCAGCCTGGTCATCCGTGTGCTTGGGATCACCAGACTCCCGCTGCCTGGGTCCCCCAAAGCGTAGGACCAACACCCCATCCCATCCCAGTAGAACTGTGAGATGTTGGGGCTGGGGGGACCTAGAGTCACCTGGTCTGACCCCTCCTCTGGTGCCAACTGTGCAATGTTGGGTCTGGGGGGACCTAGAGTCACCTGGTCTGACCCCTCCTCTGGTGCCCATTGGTGACTGGGTCCTGTTAGGAGCATGCCATGTGGGGGGCACCCTGGACACCCCCTTCCTGATCCCCACACATGGTCTCACTTGCCCCATACCTCTGAAATAGAGAAATGGGGTGCAGAGAGGTGAGCCGTGGGGAGGTCCCAGGGCCAGCAGCAGGCATGGCCCGTTTCTGGCCACACATGCTGTGGCATGTCTGTATGTGCCGATGGAGGCGCCTGGTGCTTCTGGTCCTTCCTCTTGGCGGCGCACAGCCCTGGAGACCAGACTTACGGGCCGTGAGAGAAACAGCTGCTGCTGTCAAGGGACCCCCTCCTCTTTGTCTCCAGCAGGATTCTGTGTCGTGAACATGCAGTCAGAACGCTGCTGAGTGCTCTCACCCCATACACAGCTGCAGAACTCAGCCTTGGCATGAAGGGTGCCTCTGCGTGGGCGGAGAGGAGGGGGTGAGGCCCCGTGCCAAACATGCCCTGCTGCCAACGCCTCTTCTCGGGCACAGGGAAGTCTCTTACCTCCCCCACCCTGGCTGTGTGGGCTGCACAGGAGCCTGTGGAGCTCCTTACTCTTGGGCAGTGTGTTGGGGCCTCAGGTGCAGCCGAGGCCCTGCAGGGACCCCACATGGGATGGGTGGCTGGGAGGGCTTGGGAGGCACCTCCTTTCCCGCCTGTGTCTGGGTGCTGGACAAGACCCCTTGGTTCCAGATGAGTCCTGAAATGGAGAGCACTTCCCTCTCTCCTCTTGGGGCAAAGCACTGCAAGGTGGGCTCCCTGGCAATGGAAGGCACGGCTGTGGGCCGCATGGGTGGGGCATGGCAGTAGCCCTGGGGAAAGCTATGGGGCTGGATTGGCCAACCCTAGGTGCCCGTGGCACAGAGTGTGCATACAAGCTGTCTGCCTTCCCCCAGATCCCTTCCCTCCTGCAGGATGGGCGCTGTTGGCTTGGGGGGCTAAGCCCTCCTAAGTGTCAGGTCCCAGGCAGGCTGCCACGCTGACTGGCCTTGAAACCACATGGCCCCTTGGCCTGGTTTGTGATCACACCCCTAGAAACTGAGGCTGGTGCTGAGGTGTTGGGTCCCATTGTAGTGCTGTGAGGGAGTTTTCTGGGGTGGGTCCTGGGGCTGGCTGAAGGCAGATGGTCCAGGTGCCTCTTGCAGTGACTCTGCCCCCAGCAAGAGCCCACTGGGGCTCTGGGGCAGGTGGGATCCCTACCCCTATGCTGAGGATGCCACAGGCTGATAGCATCTCGGGTTGGGCAATGGGGCCTGCATTTTCAGGCAGCCGCCAGGAGGGACTTGTTCCGCTGCATTCCCGGACCAGGGGTGGGCAGAGGCTGGGGGACTAGTGTGATGGGTGTTGGCCCTCTGCCAAACTGAGCTGGGCCTGTTTGCTGAAGCCGGGGGTGGCAGGGCTTCAGAGCCTGCAGGCACATGTGGTCTGATGGGGAAAGCAGGCCTTACCCTTGGGGGTTCCCAGTCTGATGGGAGAAGCCTGGCTTCCACTGGGGGGGATAATGGCCCAGATTAAAGGGGATGGTGCCTGCCCCCCACTCTACTTCCTCTTCCCCCAGGAAGGCTGCTCCCCATTTCCTTCCTGCCTGCCTTTGCTTCCTTGCCCACCCTCCAGCTTGGAAGGACCGTGTGCAGAAACAGCAGTGTCTGGCATGTGGTGCATATGTGTGTGCACATATGTGTGCATGTGCATGTGTGAGTGCACTGCAGGGACACAGCTGACTCACATGTCTCTGTGGTGGGGAGGGAGCCCTGGCTGTATGTCCATGTGTGTGAGTGCATGTGTGTGTGCACGTGTATGTGTGGTGCCTGTTTGCGCACATGTGAGTGCACATGTATGAACGTGTGGTGCATGTGTGCACATGTGAGTGCATATGTGTGCGCGTGTGAGTGCATGTGCGTGCACATGTGTAAGTGCACATGCATGTATGTGTGGTGCATGTTTGCACATGATGCATATTTGTGTACATGTGAGTGCATGTGCATGGTGCATGTGTTCACGAATGCACGTGCTGCATGAGTGCATGTGTGTGCACACATGTGAGTGCATGTGTGTGCACATGTGTGAGTGCATGTGTGTGCATGTGTATGAGTACACTGCAGTGACATGGCTGACCCACATGTCTCTGTGGTGGGGAGGGAGCCCCGGCTGGGCTAAGGTGTGGCCCTCTTGCCATCTGGCCTGACACTGGGCAAGTGACCTTGCCTTGCCAGGTTCTCAGGTTCCTCATCTGTCACAGGCTGGGGGCATCAGGAAGACCCCTGCGAGCTTGGGGACAGAGCATGGCAGATGAGAGTGCTGTGGGTGGGTGGCAGTGGGGTTGGAGAGCAGTGGCTGTGTGTGTGGTGTGTTTGTGGTATGTGTGTGTGATGTGGCATGTCTCTCTGTGTGTGTGTGTGTGTCTGTGGTGTCTGGGTGTGTGTGGTACATGTGTGTGTGTATGGTGTGGCAGGTCTGTGTGTGTGTGTATGGGTGTGTATGGTACGTGTGTGGTGTGTGTGTATGTCTGCATAGGTTTTATGCACGTGTGTGTGCATGGTTCTCATGTTCTGATGATTCGCTCTAGGCTGAAGCCTTGAGGGAACATATGCCATTCCCTTTAGAGACTCTAGCTGGCTGTGTGGCCTCTGGTGCCGCTCTCTGGGGCTCTGTCACCCCACCCTTAAGGGGAGGCCAGAGTGGTTTGGTGGAGTTCAGTCCCGCCTGTCTTGAGCCCAGCTCTGGGCCGTGTGAAGGACAAAGGAAGGGCTTGGCCATTGCCACTACCCGAGGCAGAGGAGCCAGCGGGGCTGGGGATGCCCTTGGGCCCCTAAATGCCTACCTTGGAGCCACCTACCTTGGAGCTTCCTGCTTTCCCCCAGACCCCTTCCCTCCTGCTTGGCCCATAGGGGCTGTGGCAGGTCAGAGATGCCCCTTGCTTCTGAGGGGCTGCTGTACCCCGAGTCCTGGGCCAGCATGTCTCCTGATGCTGGGACCGCAGTGAAGCTGGGGGCAGGGGTGCCTGGGCGGGGATCCAGCCGTAGCAGTGTGGGGGGTCTCAGGTCTTCCTGGGAGGACTAGGCTGCGATGTACGCACCTCCTCTGCCTCCGAGCAGCGCTCACTCAGGCTGGAGGGTGAAGAGGCCCTGTGTTTACAGACGCCTCCCGCCCGGCCCGCGGCGCCAGCAGAACATGAGTCAAGCGTGACTTCGTCTAGAAGGTGATTGTGCTGGCAAAGCATCAGTCCCGGCCCCTCCTGCCCCCAGCCTATAAATAAAGCGATCATATTTATAATGATGCTGGGCAGAGCTGCCGGGCCCTTCACAGCTTCAAACAGCTTCACGAAACACTCGCTAATTAATTCTCGGCTGTCCTGGCAGAGAAGGCAGGTGCCAAGGAGCCCAGTTCCAGGCGCCTGGGGAGAACTGGCAGGAAGGCCCCTCGCTCAGGGCCACCCTCATCTGGGGCTCCCTGTGCCCTGGGGCTACCTCTGAGCAGGAGGAAATCCCTGGCACGGGGCCAGGCTGGCACGTGGGGTGGGAGGCTCTGGTGACAGCTCTGGGCACCTCCAGGCCCCCCGTGTGCTGGCGCTTCCTCTTGGAGCTGTCCTGGGGGTGGGCGCTGTCATTTTCTTCTCACAGATGAGGAAGCCAAGGCACGGAGAGGTCGGGGGCTTGCCAGGGGCCACACGGCTGCTTGGGCTGTGGCAGGCTCTGGGCTCCGGGGGGCTATGGTTGTCCGATCCCAGGACGGCGGCTTCAGGCTGCTCACTGTCTTGAGGGCTCAGTCTTGCCCCTTTGGTGCTCAGAGCCTCAGTTTCCCCACTGGTGAGACAGCAGTGCTAGCTGTGTCTTGGCACTGAGACTTCAGAATTCTGTCGTTGGTGCCCATCCTTAGGGTCTCAGGGACCTGGGCCAGTGGAGGTCCCTGTCCCTGTCAGCTCAGATGCTGGCTGAGACCCACCTGCATGGGTTCCTCCTGCCAGGGGTTAGGGTTGACTCTATTGGCTCAGGATCCTGTACAGAGGGTCGTGTGAGTAGTGACCCCGCCCCAGATGAGTGCCGCCCACTGGAGTGCTCATGGAAGTCCCATGTGGGGGCTGCCAGACCCTCAATGTCTGCCTGCCAGCTGTGCCCCCTACCCTGCGCCCACCCACCATCAGGTTTCCAGTAGGACCAGGCCTGTGTGCCAACTGTGGGGGGTCCCGGCTGGCTCCTTGGCCTGGTTGGTGCATCTTGAAGCTGGGGCTGGGCCTCCCAGCCCTGAGTCTCTGTGTGGGCGGAAGTCCCTCGCTCAGGCAGCGGGCCGTGCAGGAAACTGTTGGCACAGGGTGGCTGAGAGGCGTCCACGTGGGGCTGTTAGAGAGCTCTGGCTGGTGTGAAGGGAACCACGCAGGGCTGGGGACCCTGGGCCTGGGGGTGTGAAGTGGGGAGGGCTTGTAGAGCCTGGAGAGTGCTGCTCAGCAGGAGCTGTGGCTTTAGGAGGAAGTGGCGGCTGACACCATTGCGGGTAGGGGCAGGGAGGGTGCCAGAGGCGCAGATACGCTCTTCCGCTCTTGTTCCTCCTGCTGTCCCTCATGTTTGCCAAAACCATCTGGAAGCCAGAGGGCGGGAGGGTGGGACAGGACATAGTCAGTCCATGGTGGCTAGTGCCTGGGAGAGCTCCAGGCCAGGTTTGTGTTCTGCCCACCATCAAGATGGCCTGGAGGAACAGGGATGAGCCCCACCCAAGACCCACAAAGGTGGCAGCTCTCGGAACACCCCTGCCAGGCCATACCCTCGGGTCCTTAGAAAGGCCATGTCCTAGGCATCAGACCAGGAGGAGAAGGGGCCTGGATCAGGGACTACCCAGCCCAGCACACTGGCATGAGGGCATGAGGAAGGGAGGAATTGGCCCCAGGTCCGTGTCTGAGCTGGGAGGAGATACGGCAGGAGGGGCATTTTCAGGGTGAGAGTGGAGATGTTGACTGGAGGAGGGCGTGGAGCTGTGCTTGACAGAACTGGCCTTGCAGCCCGGGTCCCGTTGCTTTTGTGTCTCTGCTACTGACTGACTTGGACAAGTCCCTTTGTCTCCATGAGCCACAGTCTTCTCGTCGGTACAGTGGGGTAATGCAGGTGCCCGCCCTGTGAGGCTGTTGGGTGGCGGATGGAACAGAAGAGGGAGGAGGTGGTGGGGTTGGGACCGGAGCCCCAGCTCAGGCCTTTCGGGGAAGGGGGTATGTCTTGGGGGAACAGCCCATGAGCCAAGTGGACGCTTCTGTCCAAGCTTCATCTGGGTCCCAGTCTGCCCCCCGGCACTTCTGGTAGGGGATGCCCAGATAGGCTGCAGAGGGGCTAGGTGGCTCCCTCAGGGCCCAGAGTGGACAGTCCAGGAAGGCCAATCCAGGTGTGGGAAGCACGGGGTGGGAGGAGCCTCACGTGCCTGGGCAGCAGGGTTCATGCCTCAAGCCTTTTGCTCAGCTCACCCCCAGGGCTGATCAGAGTCAGCTAACTAGAGCCCACGCCTGAGCAGGGAGCGCGGCCAGGGCTGCAGGCCCTGCTGTCTGCAAGCGTCGCTGTGTTTTATCCTAATGCTCAGTGTCCGGTGCCCCACGAGTGGCTGCTCCCTGGGGCAGGATTGAAAGGCATCTCTGTGCCACTGCTTGGGGCGTGGTTGGTGGAGCTGGGTTGGCCGTGTCTGTGTGGCCAAGGTGGGCCTGGTGGGTGCCTGCCCTCCATTTCTGGCAGGGCTCGGTGTTGGGAAGCGCATGGGGTCTATAGGTGCACAGTTTCCTCCTTGCCCCAGTGGCTCTGAGCCTGTCACCCCTGGATGTGCCCCTTAGCCCAGGCCCTCAGCCAGCATGGGCGCCCCTCGTGAGCATGTTCTGTTCTGCGTCTGGGCCTTTGCAGGGCCCGTGTCTCCTGCATGAGCCATTATTCCTCTGCACCTGCCTCCAGTTACATCGCCACCTCTTCCAGGAAGGCTCTGTGGTTCTCCCTGAGTCCATAGACCATCAGGGCCTTCCTCACTGCATGTGAGGCAGGCTCCTGGTGTGAAAATTAATTGGAGTTAATGAGAGCTGGTCTCTGTTCTCAGCGCACACAGCCACACGGAGGCCAGGCCTGGGGCAGAGATGGAGTTTCTATCACCCAGCCCTGGTGGGGATGCTGGTGTTGTGGGTGCATTGGCTGGGAGCTGGCACCACCCAGCCCCGACAACCTTCCCTGGGAGCCACTGGCTGGGCTGAGTGTAGGGCTAACCCCGCCTCCCGGGTTGTAGCCGTGCAGGAGGAGCGGCAGCGTGGCAAGGACCGGAACGAGAATGAGGTGGAGTCGACCAGCAGCGCCAACGAGGACATGCCTGTGGAGAGGATCCTGGAGGCTGAGCTGGCTGTGGAGCCCAAGACCGAGACCTACGTGGAGGCCAACGTGGGGCTGAACCCCAGCTCAGTGAGTTGCCGCCTGTGCAGGGAGGGCAGCCTGCCTGCCTCAGTTTCCCTCACCCACCCACCTGAGCTGCTGCTGAGCCAGAGAGGTCTGTCCTGGGGGCTGCCCTGGGCTCTGTGGCCGCCTCAGCTTGGTCTTTTACCCGTGGCGACCCTGTGCGCCTCTCGCCCCAGCTGGGCACCACTGTCCTTTCCTAGCCCATGCAGGGGTGGCCCTCAGGCAGGGGACAGGGTCCCTGTGGCTGCATCCTCCTCCTCAGCCATCTCTGCTGGGGCCTCAGCTGCTGTGTCCCCTTGGGGTTTGGCCTCTCTGGGCACAGAGGCTGTCCCTGCTCCCTGGTGCCCCCTGGAAAAGGTGTGAGAGGAGGCTGAGCCTCCGGTGAGAGGTTCTGCACGTTGGTTCCGGGGCTGTCTTTGCCAGCAGCTGTATGGCCCTGGGCAGGTACCCAGCAGTTGTGGTGGGTGCTGTTGAAGCGGGGAGTGGCTCTGCAGTCCCCCAGCTTGTGACCCCCATGCTATCCCTCCTGCCTGTTCCCACCCTGGACTGGCAGCCCCAAGGAGGGGAGGATGGGGGGCGCAGCCCATGGGTGGGTCCTAGGCTTTTCTCCTGGGTTGGCTCAGCTGGCTTTGGGTGATGGATTCGGACCCCCTGGCCTCGCCCTCCCCGCCTTGGACCCTTCCTTGCTGCTGGCACTCTCTGTGGCATCTTGACTTATGGCTGTGGCCTTGCCAGGGAGGGCGTCACAGGTGTGTTCTCAACCCCTTTTAACCTAAGGCCCAGGACCTGCATGTTATGGGAACCGTTGCTCCCTGGTGGGCTGGTCTGGCTGGGAGACCCCACTTGTCTCGGGCCCCACTGAGGGGATGGCTGCAGCTGTGCAATTGGGTTGGGCGGGTGAGCTCCTGGCTGCCTGAGTCAAGGTTCAGGACTTTGCACAAAGCTTCCTGCTGCCGGGGACCCAGCACCCCGCTGCTCTCAGGGACCATGGTATCCAGGCTTCATCTGTGTCTCTCTGTGGTTTTGGGGCTGGGACCAGAGCCCTGTGGTCACCGATGATTTTGTCCAGGCTGGCCATGAGGTGGCCCTGACCTCTGTCCCTCTGTGGGCCCAGGGACAGCAGGCTGCCCTCCCTCAGTGCTGGGTGTGCTCTGCAGGTCACTGTCCCTGCCGCCCACCCGGGCCTTCCTGCTTGCTGCTCCCATGGACTGGAGCCAGGCCCTCTGGCTCTTCCTCAGGCTTGGGTCTCAGCTGAGGTACCTCTGGCTTCTATCTGTGCCCCCACCAGGGTGGGGACAGCCCCTGTGATGTGGGCTGAGGGTGCTTGTTCTTTTCTCTATGGCCCCTAGCAGGAGCCATCACAGGGTGATGTGTGAGCGCAGGGCAAGGTGTGCGGTGGGTTAATGTCTGCTGCCCCCACGAGGCTGCTGGGGACGGCTGGGCTGCTCCTTGCCACCAGCTTCGGTCAGGGACAGCCACCCCGCCCCTGCTCCTTGGTGCTCAGACAGACTGCCTCTGCCTGTCTGAGGGTGAGGGTCTGCTCTTGCCTGAAGCTCTGTGGCTGGGTTGGGGCCGCCCTGCTCCCCTGCCCTTTCTGGATAGGACAGCCCAGTGCCTTCTGCACGTCCTGGCTCTCCTCAGACCTCTACTCTGGCCGGGGGCTGGGGCTGCTGGGGAGAAGGCACATGGGACCCCAAAAGTAGGCCCCTCCTTTCCAGAGAAACCCTCCCCATGAGTGACTGGTGCAGGCCAACCCCAGCTGGGACACCGCACAGTCCTGTCTGGTCTGCACACCTGCCCTGCCCCACGCCCGCCTGTCCAGCCCTGCGGAGGGCAGGGGAGGGGAGGGAGGGTAGCTGTGAGGGTTTCATGATCCAGCAGAAAATCAGAAGCAAGGTTGGCGTGTGCACCAAGGGCTGCCAGGTTTTCATTCTGTGAAGTAAGGACATTATTTGGGAGAAAAATCTGCCATCTGCTCTCTCTCTCATTGCGTAAAAGTTCAGGGGGTTCAGAACCGCAGATAGGCAGGACTTTCAGGGGACAAAGGACGCGTCTCCGCAGGGATGGGTCTCTTCATACCCGCGCCTCTGTCTGATCTCACACTGAATGCTCCTCTGTGGACTGGTCTGGGTCCAACTTCCAGACCGCTCACTGGGCCCCTTCCTTCAGATGGGCAAACTAAGGTCAGAGAGGGCACAACCTGCCGAGTGTCACGGTCCTGGTGCCCGGTTTCTCCCCAGCATGGGGAAAGGCCAGGGCCTCGGCCTGGATGGGTCCTATGGACACTTCTACGCAGGAGTGGAGCCCATCACATGCCTTCCATTACATGAGGCACGTTGGATCTCCAGGCGAGAATGGGAGGCTCACAGAGGTTAAGACTTTCCCGAGGCCACACACGGAGGTGGATCTGGGCGGAGCCAGGAACCTGCATGGTCCCTCCCTTCCTGGGGGACCCCTCCAGACCTGGCCCTGCTGTCATGGGAGCCAGAGCCTCATACCTGCTGGGCATGTGCCTCCTCCTTCGCTCCAGCCTGCTGGCTTTTCAGCCACCACACCCTGCTCCCTGTCCTGGCTGTGCTCGCTGCAGGGACATGACAGATGGTGACCCTGCATCCTCTCCTGCAGAGGCCCCATCAGCGCAGGAGGACTTGAGGCTCTTCTTCCCACCCATGGCACCCGCCTGTCACCTGGGCCTGCTCTTGGCCCCGTGTTGGCTTCTGAGAGTGGCCTGCCAGCAGCTGGGGGAGTTCCTGGGTACAAGGCTCCCAAGCGGAGCCATGTGCTGCGGGCTCAGTGCTCAGGCTGTTTTCCCCACATCCCCCTCCCCTGCCAGGCCTGCGTGACCCTTTCTCAGAGATGCCCTGCGGCAAATGGGCAGGCGAGAAGGACCTGGCCCGTTCAGCCCCCATTGAGACAGAAGGGGAGGCTGAGGCTGAGAAGCCAGGCCTGGCTGTGGTGGGCCTGGGGGGTGCTGGGCATAGAGGCTGGAGCCTGTGAGTGCCGGGGCTGTGGATGTGCTGCTCGTGGAAGGTTTGCGGAGAAAGGAGTGAGTCGGAGACCTGTGTAGACTGTGGTGAACCCCTCTCAGCTGAAGAATCCTGCCCCTCTGTTCACCCCTTCAGGCTTGGAGCCCTAAGGGCTGTCCTGGCCTTTCCTGAGGGTCCTGGCCTCCACACCATTCATCAGGGGGCTTCCCACTCAGCCCTTAGAGGCTCTCCCACCGGGCACTATGTTTAGGCTGCATGCCTCTGACGGGCACATGCTTTCTGTCAGTGGAAGCTCTTCAAAGAGAGGCATTTTCTCCTTGGCGAATGCCCTGGAGTAAGGAGTCCCCGAATCCCATTCACAGTCCTTACTCCTGCAGCCGCACAACCGAGGGGGCCGTCGTCTGAGTCCCCATTGCTCAGTACATAGAATGTCCATGACCCAAGCCCTACCTGCCAGAAGCTAGGGAGGGGCCTCCCCTCCTGCCCTGCTTCAAGGCCACCTGGGTCCCTTCATCTGTGACTGAATTGCCCTCTTCTGGTTAGGACTTTCCAAAGGAGCTGGGAATGCCGCTTGCTCTCCGTGCCTGGGACCTGGTGTCTCAGCCGAGGCGCCTGCCCTCCTGAGTACCCACCTCCATGTCTGGTAGAATATAAGAGGCCAGCCCCATTCGTGGGGTGGGACACTGTGACCATCAGAGAAGAAGGGGGTCGGTCCCACCCAGCTCTGCCGCTGCCCCGTATCTGGTTTTCCCAGCTCCCTGCACCTGCCTCCCAGAGCCATGGGAGAGATGCATGTCCTGCTGTAACCTACCAGCTGGAAACGGCACACATTTTATTATCTGGCTGTCCTGAGGTCGGAGAGCCACATCAGTCTTGCTGGGCTGAAGCTGAGGTGTCTGTGGGCTGGCTCCTAGAGGCTGTGACGGGGAGGCTGCCCTGCGTTTGCCAGCTTCTGGTCCCCCCACATTCCTTGGCTCTTGGCCTCTTCCACCGCCTTCAAAGCCAGCAGCGTCTCTCTCCCTCAAGCCCTGGTGCCTGCAATCACATCTCCTCTGCCCCTGCTGCCCCCTCTCCTGGACCTCTTGCAATGACTCTTGCAAGAGCAGCCGACTAGCAGCTCTTCACCCTGGTGGAGTGGGCCCACAGTGCAGGTTCTTGCTACTGCCGCTACACGCTGGGGGCCCAGGTGCAGGCCCAGCTCCCAGTCTAAGGCCACACCTAATGCCTCTCAAAGCCCTGTTTGCCGTGCAAGGTCGCACCTTCCCAGGTTCCGGGGTTAGGGCGTGGGCATCTTTGGGGGCTGTATTCAGCGCCCTGCATGGGCTCGGCATGTGGGTGGGGCCTGGTCTGGGTTGTGTTCCGTGAGTACGTCGGCTTCTGGGACCAAACGTGCTGCTGCTCTTCCTTCCCTGCAGCCGAACGACCCCGTCACCAACATCTGCCAAGCAGCCGACAAGCAGCTCTTCACCCTGGTGGAGTGGGCCAAGCGCATCCCGCACTTCTCAGAGCTGCCCCTGGACGACCAGGTCATCCTGCTGCGGGCAGGTGAGTGGCCGGCCCGGGCGGGGGTGGGGAAGGCTTGAGGACGGGGCATATCTTGGAACACTCCCATCTCCTGGGACCAACTGTGGACTATGTGGGACTGTTGGGGAAGGGCCTAGGGCCTCAGTTTCCCTCCTGCCCCCATACGGAGGGGTGCCATGCAGGTCTCTCTGTGGGGCCTTCAGAGAGGTGAAGGGCTGTCAGTGGAGGATGGGAAGCTCTGGAGAGGGTGACTGGTGTGTCCCGGAGGCTGCCCTCGAGGACCACGGGCCCATGCGGGAATGGTAATGCACCCAGCCATGGCACAGAAATGCCTACTCCACGCTTAGCACATGCCCTGCAATGCCAGACGGTGGCCAGATGGGGGCTGGGAGCTCAGCTTTGGGGTTTTGGGGTCAGGTTGGCGGTGGGGGAACAGGGTGGGGCAGTGCCCTCTGAGCTGGTCCCCCACCTGGAAAGGGGGTGTGAGGGGCGTCCTGCCTGGGCTGGTCCTTACCGAGTCACAGGGTAGCTAAGACCAGGCTCTTACTGCAGGTTCCCGCTGGGGCAGCAACATGTTGGGGGCCCAGGTCTGCCCTCAGTGCCCTCCCAGCAGTGACGATGGTGCTGGCCTCTTTCCCATGTGCCCCTGGGCCCAAGAGGCCAAATTCCCTTAGGGCTGGGTGTCCCAGCTGCCTAGAGTTCCATGGCTGCACTGTGGGCCCCGTCCTCAGCCTGACCAGGAGCCTCGGCCCATACAAGGAGACTCCAAGAAAAAATGGAGAAGACACACCAAACAGAGACGGGGCTCCCTGTGAAGCAGGGAACGTTCTGGAAGCTGCTCGGGTCAGGGCTGGGTGGGACCACACGGGCTGTGTGTGGAGGGCCTGGCGCTGCCGCCTCCTCCTGTAAGGACTCTTAGGCCGTATTGGGGCCCCCCAGATCAGCCCGGATAATCTCCCATCTCAAAGCCTTTGACTTAATCCTGCTGGCCTGGCGTCTAGTGGGTCCTTGCCCCGCTGGGCCTCAGGCATGTGGGCGTCTGCTATTGTGGGCTCAGACTTCTTTCTGGGTATGGCGAGCATTCCAGGTGCCCTTGTTTGCAGGGGCTCCCCCAGAGCCCTTGGTTCAGAGCCCCTGGCTTTGCCAGCTGCACGCCTGCCTGACCCGTCGTCTTTGCAGAGAGAGAATGGTGCCCCTATTCCCAACCCACCTGTCAGACCCAGAGAATGGCTGGCCACAGGCAGCTCTTTTCCTGGGGAGTCTCCCGGTGGTTGTGCGCTGGGGCCGGGCAGAGGTCCGAGTCGGATTGGGCAGCTGTGTCTGTGTGGCGCCTGGCCTTGCAGTCCCATGTTCTGGCAGCTTCTGGCTCCAACCTTGGCCTGCATGGGGTGATCGTGGCGGAGTGTAATCAGGTGGGGACTCCCCACGAGGCCCTTCCCTCAGCCTAGAGCCCTGGTGCTCCGAATCCCTGGTCCCTTCTAGGATACCTGGAAAGCCACCCTGTGACATCCGTTCGAGGGTGGCCTCTGCTCCTGCCCAGCGGCTTTTTCCGGGACATCTTTACCGCTGCTTGTCTCTGGGTGGGTCCTCCCAGCCTGGCTTTCCCCGGCCCCCACTGAGGTCCTTGCTGACCTGTCTCCAGTGTGCCCTGCTCCTGCATGGTGCCGGCTTCTAGGCACATGGTGAGGTCTGGAGCTGCACATCTGACGTGAGTCCCACCCCGCTGCCTGTGAGCGCTGATCTTGACCAAGTCATTTACTGTCTGTGCCTCAGCATCCTGTGTGTTCTGTCTGCCGGGCTTGGGAGCTCACCCACCAGGTAGTCTCCCCAAGCCCTGTAAGGTCCACCGAGGGACACATCCAGCCCAGATGTGGAGCATGGGAATTTGAAGCCTGCACTGGCCCAGTGGCTGGAGAGGACCTGGGTCAGCCCCAAGGATACGCCGTGCGTGGCTGGTGTTGGCTGGAGGGCTCTGTCCCCTCCAGGGGACTTGGGTCAGGGTCTGTGGCTGTAGCCTGGCTGGTGTCGGCTGGAGGGCTCTGTCCCCTCCAGGGGACTCGGGTCAGTGTCTGTGGCTGTAGCCTGGCTGGTGTTGGCTGGAGGGCTCTGTCACCTCCAGGGGACTTGGGTCAGTGTCTGTGGCTGTAGCCTGGCTGGTGTTGGCTGGGGCAGCCCTGCTGGGTTTTCGTCTGTGCAGAAGGCAATGGCAGAGGTGAGCCCCGCCCAGCCCTGGCAGGTGCAGGGGTGCCCTGGGTGCTCCCCCATTATGTCCCTCCTGCTGGGCCCTCCCACTGCGTTTCCAGTGCTGGTGGGGAGGTGCTTCCAACTGGGCGGTAGCAGCAATGGGAACGGGTGCCCATGCCTGGGGTTCCTACCATCATAAGAGCCATTGGCCATCCAGGTTCAAGGCCCAGAGTCTCTCCTCACCCCGGGAGTGTCCACCTGTGGCTCTTGGTGTCACTGAGCGGGGGCAGTGGCCACAGCCCTGCAGGGGCCCGGAAACTGGCGGAGGATTCCAGCTGGGCTGTGGGCAGCTGGCATCACATGCGTTTGCTCCTGTGGGGTGGGCCCTTCCTTGTGGTGGGTTCCTGCCCCACCTGTCCGGGCAGGCTTTAGAAGTAAAGCATCCAAATGAATAGCTTTGGCTTGTTCATGGAAGCTCCAAGTCACACCCTGACTCGAGTTTGTCAGATGAGGAAACCAGGCAGAGCCAGGTCGCTCACAGCTTTCAGGTTCCTCTGTCCAGCTCCTTCCTCCCACCTGCGCCCTCATCACAGGCTCTTGGTTCCGAGGCCCCATTAGCTGCTCTAACAGGGTTTTCTGAAGGCCTGGCCTGCACAGGCACCTCTTGCTGCTAGGGGGAGGGAGGGGCGGGGCCAGGCCTTGCTGGGCCGGGAGAGAGGGAGGGGCTGGGCTTATGAAGCAGCCTGAGGTCCTCTGTGGGGACAGCACACCGCTTTACTCCTCTAGTCTTGTTAATGCTGCCCACATCTCCAGCCTGGGGACACAGGGGAAGCCAGGCTGGGTTCTTCTGGTCAGGACCGCCCTGGGAGGGGGTCCCCATCACAAGCCCCACAGGTACAGCAGCCGTGACGCTGAGGGGCCCTTCCCTGCCTCATGGGTGTGAACCCATTTAACTCTCCAGATGATTAGGTGTAGCGGTTCTCACTGCCCCCTGTGCCAAGGAAGTTGTGGCTCAGAGGTGAGATGTGAACCCGGTGAGCTAGCCCGAGGCCCCGGCTTCCCTACCTGACCCTTGACTCTGCACTTCCTACCAGAAGTGCTCTCCAGCCCTGGGAGCCGTGGGGGGCGGGGTCCAGAGAGTCTGTGCCCTTGAGTGGGGTTCCAGGTGTCTTGCACCCCAGCAGAGGCGACTGTTCTGGTTGGGAGGCCCTGGGCGTGTGGGCAGGGCTGTGAGGGGTCTGTAGGCGTTAGCTTCTCGGGCAGGGCCAGCCTCTTGAGGTGGAAGACATAGTGACCAAGCGAGCAGCCCCAGGCTAGACTCCTTGTTTGTCCTGAGCTCCGAGCCTGGAGGAGGACCTGGTGTCCCCTACGTCACTGAGGTCCACCTGAAAGGCCAGCATGCCCTGAGCTGTTAAGAGCTGTGGCCGGTCCAGGCCCTCACATCGCCGGTTCCCAGCTCTCCTTCAGCCCGAGATGGTGTGCTTGGGAATGTGAACACGCACTCCAAAGGCTCCTGTAAAGTGAGTTCCTCAGTTTCCCCTTAAAATCCAAGATGAAGGAGGGCCGCTTACAGAGGTGTGTGTGGCAGGAGAGGAGAAACACCGAGTGAGGATGTCCGGTGGAGGGATGGGGACGGTGGAGCTGAGAGGCTGCCGGCGAGCTGGAGGGTGTGGGGAGAGAGTCCTGCTGTTCTGTCCGTGTGTCTGGGGCCCCAACCTGTATCCCAAGCTGAGAGCCCCACCTCGGCTCAGCAGCACCTTCTGAACCTGGCTGTGCACCAGGCCCCTCCTGGGGACACCAGAGTTTCAGAGGCGAGTCCACCTCCTTCCCGCTGGGGCCTCAGGGGCTCTCGGGGTAGTGGGAGGGAGGCCGCCACTGTCAAGTAAACCCCCAGGGCTGGAGGATTCAGGGGAGAGAGGCAGGCTCAAGAGGGCAGGACAGGCCAGGGATGGTAGGTTTGGGGCCAGTTCTGCCCTAGCACAGCTCTCATCTTCAGCCCCCTGGGTCCCTGCCCTTGGCCGCAGGCTCTGTCCACACTGGGCCTGGTATGGGAAGGGAGGGAGAGCCCTTTTCCTCTCTGGGCCACAGATTCCCCACATGTCAGATTGAGGGGAGTCTTCTAAATCAGAGTTCTCCCAAATATGGTGCTACAGATGTTTCATGGGGAAAAAAAGGATTCTATGGTTAGGAAAACATATCTGTGCAGGGTGGAAGCTCCTCGGCTGCTGGCGTGGCTGAGCCGGGATGCCACAGTGCGCTGCAGCCTTGGTGCAGAGGCTGGGTGTGTTTCCCAAATCCCCGCCCCAGGGGACCTTACTCTTCTTACCCCCTCAACGCAACAGGCTGCCTGCTGCCACCTAGCAGGGAGAGGGGATGCATGGCAGGTCGGGAGGTGCCAGTCCTGTGCCTGTGATGGTATTTCCATCAGACTGCCCTTGGTGCCATCTGCATACCCGCATGGTGATGGGCAGAGAACCCATCATTCTGCCCCTGTTTTGGTGGCACGGCCTGGGGCGAGTTGGGCACCATTGCTGCCTGGTCTGTGTCAGCACACCTGGGCTAGGTGGCTTCAGGGTTGGGACCTCCCTCCTGGGGTCCTTGGATGACCCAGTTGTGAACTGGGGAGAATGGGGATGGTGACACCTGCCCTCGGGGTCCCCATGATGGGGTGGGCATGTGCCAGGACGCCGGGTGGACTGAGCCGGTGCTGGCACGGTGCTCCCCTAAGCTTCTTGCTGACATGTACTGTTGTGCCTCAGTTTCCCCCCTGTAAAACAGGGTTAATGCTGGCTTCCAGGATTACAGTTGGGATTAGGTGGGAAATTGACGACAGTGTCGGCCACAGAGCCTGGAGCCTCTGGAGCGCCTGAGGGGTGCAGAAGGTGCTAAAGGTGACTCTGACTTCGGGTGATACCATGTCACCCTGTCCACAGGAGCCACGAAAGCTGTAACACGTGTGTGCTCGAGGGTCCCTGTTTGTGGCTCTCGTCTTCCCTGATGCCTGCTCTGTTTTGTCTGCACTGGAGCCTCATGTTGAGGGGCTGCTGTTTTCTAGCCGACCTCCCAGGGAACTCCCCAGAAGAGGCTGGGCTCTCAAGCACCCGCCTTCAGGTGGACGACCTGCTGTTTGGTGGCACTCCACTTAGTGCTCATGGATCTCCCGGAGTGTGTTCCTGGAATCTGCTGGCAGCTGTGGGGACATCCCTGGGTGCTCTCCCATGTGCCCTGTGGCAGGCGTGTCCTGCACGCACAGGAGGAAGCTTCGGTGGGCACATGAGTTTGTGGGCTCCTGGGTTCTGCAGAGCTCAAGGGACTTTGTGTGGGACTTCTCAGTGCCTTTCCTGTGCCGGCGTGTACTGTGAAGAGGTATTCTCAGGACGCTCTTTTCTGTGGACACCTCATGGGATTGGGGCACCACAGTCTGTCGGGGGGAGTCTGTGACAAGCTGCCTCTGCGAGGGGAGTCCCAGCAAGGCCTGGAGACAGCCGAGTCCACAGCCTGTCAGGAGGGGTCTGTGACATGCTGCCTCTGTCGGGGGAGTCCCAGCAGGGCCTGGGAAGTGGGGAGGCCCGTGGCCTGGAGACAGCTGAGTGACCATGTGCCTCCTTCCCAGGCTGGAACGAGCTGCTCATCGCCTCCTTCTCCCACCGCTCCATCGCCGTGAAGGATGGGATCCTCCTGGCCACCGGGCTGCACGTCCACCGGAACAGCGCCCACAGCGCAGGGGTGGGCGCCATCTTTGACAGGTGGGGGTGGTCCCGGGAGGGGCGATGTCACTTCGGTCACCTCCACTGCCCGCCAGGCCAGCAGAGTCTGGCTGCCTTGGCCCTGTGCACCACCTGCCTAGTGTTATTTCAGGGCATGGAGGGTGCCCACGTGGAAAACAGAAAGCATGAGGAGGTGGCGCGGAGCCCCGCGCCAGCCCATCCCTGGGCATCTAGACCACAGGGAGCGCTTCGCCTGTTTCCCTCCAGCTCTTCTTTTTCATAATCCCACAGATTTGTCCGTGGGAAGGAGGCTTTATTTCTTTTTGGAGCGATTAGATCGTAGATGCAGTTTTGTAGAACCGTTGATTCCGGTTGGCAGGTTGTAGGCTGTTTGGGGCTGGCATGTCACAGGCTGTTTGGGGCTGGCACGGTCGTGCTGGGGCAGCCCGGGAGGGCATGGTGCGCTCCAGCGCGTGTCCCTGTGCAGGCAGGGGTGTGGGGATCACCGCGCTTCACACCTCCCAGCAGAGCACCGGTCGTACCTCAGGCACTTCTCAGGGACACCCTAAAGGGGCGGCGCTGCCTAGAGGCCCCACCCTTCTCCCAGCCTGGTGGTCTGTGTCCATTCACAGACTCCCTCCTGGAGTGCTGGCCCACGACAATCCTCCAGGCGAGGTGGACAGGAGCTTCCTTGTCCCTGTCTTTGCACAGTCTTTCTCCACGGGCTCAGGGAGCCCACCTAGACTGGGCCTCCTTGTGACTGGATGTCAGCTCAGCCAGCTGGGGCAGGAAGGCTGGTGAGGGGCATTGCAGGGTCCCTTGGGCAGGGGTCTGTAGCACAGGAGCAGTGAGAGGGGAGGAGCAGGCTGCCTGGAGAAGGTGGCCTCTGAGCATGAGAGCCCTGACATTAGAGGTGGGCAGAGGCCAGGCTCTGGCACTCACAGGGGAATGAATGCACCAACAGCAGTGCCCCATGGGGCAGTTCAGGTCCCCAAGTCCTGCGGATGTGCAAAAGCATTTGTGGCCACAGACGGTGGGGAAATGCTAGTTTAAATTGCGCTAGAGGGGCTTGCTGCAGGACTTGTCAGGGCCTTTAAGAAAGTGTACGGGAGAGTCCTCACGGGGGCTGAAGGGTGCCATGTTTATTGCCCACAGGAGCTTCTTTAGAGGGGCACTGGGGATGTGGCTTAGGGAAGTGAAGCTCCAGCCACTGCCCAGCTGACAGCTCTGTTGTTTGGCTGGTGGAGAGATGACAGAGGCCTCGGGGTTACATTCTTTGGGGTCCCAGAGCAGTGACGACAGAGCCCCGCATTTCCTTGCCTTTTGTGCGAGTGGAATGCAAAGTCTTAGCCCTTTGGTGGCCCAGAGTTTTCCGTGCCTGCTGCAGTGTGTGCCCCTGCCTCAGAGCAGACATTGGGGCCCCTCCTGGCTCCCGTTCTGTCCCTCTCTATCCTCCAGGCTCCCTCAGATCTCTCAGGAGCCAGCCAGGGCACTCCCACTTCTGTAGACCCTCAGGGCCCCCCTTGGCCCACAGGGTAGCCAAGGGCTCAGGAAGAGTGGACTCTGCCCCATGTGCTGCCCTGGCTCACCTCGGCTTAGCTGTCACGAGGCCCCTCCTTAGCATCTAGGTTCCCAGAATAAAGCTTCACAGGCAGACCCTAGAGGGAGAGGAGAGAAGCCCATCCTCCGGGCAGGGCTGGGCAGGCCTGGCAGAGGTGGCACTTGGGCCTCGTTCCTGCCCAATCCTGCTCCTGCCGTTTGGCAGTTCTTGCCTTGGCTTGGCCCATCTCAGCCACCCTTGGGCCACACTGGGCTCCCAGAGGCCTTGGGTGTCTGGGGTGGGACCCTGGTGAGGGCCACGGCCTAACGGGGATGGGGTGTCTGCCCTCCTCCACTGCAGGGTGCTGACGGAGCTCGTGTCCAAGATGCGGGACATGCAGATGGACAAGACGGAGCTGGGCTGCCTGCGCGCCATCGTCCTCTTCAACCCTGGTACGGCCTTTCTGCCTCCAGGCTCCTGGCCCCGTTTTCTGGTGGGGCAGGGGCACCTGGGCCTCCTCCTGTCTGCGCCTCTTGCTGTGGCTGCGCATGGGGCCGACTCCTACCCTCCCTGAGCTCAGCGGGCTCCCTTCCCAGCCAAAGTGTGGCCACTTTTCCGGGGCTGCTCTGCCTTCTGCTCACAGGGGACCCAGCAAGGCACTTGTTTTCAGGGGCTTGGTGGTGCCTCTGGGCTCTGCCTTGACAGCGTCTACCGTTGTGCATGGGAATCCAGACTCTGCAGTGGCTGGCTGTGGTGTGACCTCCCGGTGCTCAAGTTCAGGAGCCCCAGGCCCTGCAGGCTGGCGATGGGGATGGGTCAGGTCTGCTGGTGTTCTGGAGAGGACCAGCCTCATCCCTGATTCTTGGGTCCAGGGTGTTTCTGGGGCTGGGCCCCTGCAGTTGAGGACGGCAGGGCTTGGGACTCAGGCTGTGGGGCTGGGGTGGGCGCTTGCCTCCTGGCCGACAGTGCCACCCTTCTCCAGACTTTAGGTTCTCTGCTTTAAAAGCCTCCTAGGTGTTACTCCTTCACCCAGCAAGTGCTGACACATGTCTGTTTACCTGGCACCCTGCCGTGCATGGGAGGGCTCCTTCAGGCTGCTGGGTAGGGCCTGCCCGCCCAGAGCTCCAGGTTCAGAGGGTCACGCCCACCAGCAGGCGCCCCTGGCATATAATCCTGTCAGCAGGGAGGCCGAGTCACGTCTGGCCCAAGGAATCCCCACTCAGGTCCCGTGTGGCCTGGTTGCCAGAGCTGGGGCGCCAGCAGGACCTAGGCCTGGGCTTGCAGGGAGGGTGAGGAGACTGGCTGGCATGAGCACAGTCTGGGCACAGGCTTGCAGGGAGGATGAGACTGGCTGGCATGAGCAGGGTCTAGGCACAGGCTTGTGGGGAGGTCAAGGAGACTGGCTGGAGCTGAGGCAGCCGGGGGAGCCAGACATGTTGCCAAGGAGTCCTAGGACCTGGGCCAAAGTGGCACTCACAGGGGGTCCCTGGGCCTTGGAGGTGTTGGTGGCTGCAATCCCAGACTCTGTTCGCTCTAGGCTCTTTACTCTGGGGCCTGAGCTCAGCACTCTCCAGCATCCTGAGGGTGGCTTCTGGGGACTCCAGGTGCTCCTGGGGGGCATTGGTAGTGCCCATCCGTGTTACAGGGTTGGGACCCAAGGGCAGCAGAGGCGTCCATTGTCAGTCCCTGCGGCAGCTTGAAAGCAGCAGGTTCCGGACACAAGTCTCTGGAGGGCGAATGATTGACCCAAGGTCACATGGCTGGCAAGTGGCAGAGCCGGGCTTGGGCCCAGAGCAGCCTGGCCTGGCCTCGGGTTCCACACTCGCTCCCTGCCAGTGGGCTCTGGGTTCATGTCCTGTGGCATCCCTCACACCACCTGCTCTGCCCATATCAGGGCAGCCTGGGAGACCCCACATAGGCCTGGGTCCTGGGGGCAGGTGCCCAGGACGTGCCACAGCCTGGGAGACCCTACACAGGCCTGGGTCCTGAGGGCAGGTGCCCAGGATGTGCCCCAGCTGAGGGTTCTGACTTGTGGCCTCTCCTCCTTTCAGACTCCAAGGGGCTCTCGAACCCGGCCGAGGTGGAGGCGCTAAGGGAGAAGGTCTATGCATCCCTGGAGGCCTACTGCAAGCAGAAGTACCCAGAGCAGCCGGGAAGGTGGGCCCCGCCCCCCACAGACCCCAGATCCGGGCTGTCTCCAGAGCCCCCACCCTCTGCAAGGCTGTTTTATGTGAATGAGAAGGTGGCAGCCTCCCCAGGCCCAGTCCTGGGCAGTAGGTCCTGAGCAGGCTCCGGGCCAGTGGCCGTGGTGAGCATGACCCACAGGTTCACGCCGTATGTATCCCTGCTGGAAGGATTACCTCAGACCTGGAGCGTAGTAGGTGCTTGTCTTTTTCTAGTAGGTAGATGAAGGCTGTGCTTCAACCCCCACCCAGTCCCCTGCCAAGCAGAACCACCAGAGGCCAGGCGACACCAGCACACAGTAGGTACTTCACAAGCATGTGTAGCCTAGATGGCCTGATGTTCACACGTAATAAACATTCTCTACAAGTGTGTACAGCATAGGTGACCATGGCCCCCTGGAGGAGTTCATTTTCCCCCCACCCGGCAGTGGGCCCCAGAAGGGCTGGGAGCCTCTCATCTCCAAGTCCACGTTGCTGGGTGCGCAGTAGGTGTCCAGGAAGAGAAACTTGTGGATTCCTGGGATTCAGAGTCAGCTCTCCAGAGTCTGCCCCTTCTCTCTAAAGAGGCTTCTCCCGGCCTCTTGATCCTCAGACTGTGGGCAAGGAGTGGGGTGAGGGGGGCCCCCAAACCCGTAGGACACCCAGGCCCTGGCGCCACCGGCACATACACAGTTAACCGTGTCCCCACTGCCTGCTCGGCCCTCATCTGGCTTGGTTTAAAGTGAAACTTCCCGGAGGACGAGGACAGGAGGGGGTGGCAGGCGGCTTGTTTTTCCTGGCTCTCTGCCCTGGCCCATCTCGCCAGCTCAGCAGAAAACAGCTTGTTCTCTGGCCCAACTCCAGCCTCTGCGTTGTTTTTGCCTTTAAAACAAGAACTGTGAGGCAGCCAACCACAGAGCTTTTCCCTGAAATAAAGACTTCGTTAATAATTAATGAGGTTCTGCAGCCCCTGGTGGGGCTGTGTGGAGAGACCCAGGTGGGCCCTGGGGCAGACATGGGCAGCCGGGAGGGACACCTGGCCCTGTCTCCACAGCACCCTGTCCTCTGTGGTAGCTGTTGCCCTCATGCCTGGCCCTCTGCACCCCTTCCCAGAGCCCCAGACTTCTCCCCTGCCTCCGCACTGGTCCCTGCCCCAGGAAACTCCCCAGGGGTGGGCCGGGCCCTGAGGAGCAACGCATGGTGCCTCCCTCCCTGCCAGTCTTCTCTGACCATGCTGTGCCCAACTCCAGAAGAGCTATTTCTGCTGAAGAGGTGGCCCTTGGTCTGGTGCCCGCAGTGCTGCATGAGGTGTGCTGGGGAGACACTCACGGGGTGCTGACACTTTATGGGAAGGGGCTTGCCTGGTACACGGCTCCCAGGTCAGGCCTGGCTCCCCCTGCAGTGGGGGCGCAGCCCGAACACCACCCCCCATGCCCTTTGACTTCTTGACTGCCTATCCAGTGCCCTGCCCATTCCTGCCACTCACCAGTGTGCTCAGCACCCCTTTCCCTCACAGGCCTTGCTGTCTCTTGCTGGGACGGCTACAGAAGCTGGAGGAGATGCTGATACGTCCACTCCTGCAACTCTCCCCTGCTGCAAATCCCGCTGACGGTCCCTGTGGCCCACATTTTTTCATTTTTTAGGACACAGTCTTGCTCTGTCGCGCAGGCTGGAGTGCAGTGGTGCGGTGGTAGCTCACTGCAGCCTCCACAGTCGGCTCTCAAGCGGGCCTCCCTGCAGGCGTGCACCACCAGGCCCAGCTACTTTTTTTCTCTTTTTGTTGTGTAGAGACACGGTCTCACTGTGTTACCCAGGCTGGTCTTGAACTCCTGGGCTCAAGCTGTCCTCCCACCTTGGCCTCTCAAAGTGCTGAGATTACGAGTGTGAGCTACCCAGCCGCCCACAATGTTTAACTCCTTTACTGAAGCTCTTCAGCGGGCCCCCACCCGCCGCTGTCTGGCCCCACCCCTCCTCTCTGTCCTCGGCCCCAGGGATCTCCCTTCACTCTCCTGGCTCTGGCTGCCGCCGCCTGTTTGCTTCTAGCCTCCCCTCCTTCCTTCTGGGGGCTTGGCACAGACAGGCCCTGGGCTACAGACCAGCTTCAGGGAGGTTGGGCTGTCAGACACAGCCCCATCCCCAGGGAGGCCTCCAGGTGCCACAACAGTACTGCCTGTGCCCCTTGCCTGGCCCTCACCGGACCCCTTCCCTGCAGGTTCGCCAAGCTCTTGCTCCGCCTGCCGGCTCTGCGCTCCATTGGGCTCAAGTGCCTGGAACATCTCTTCTTCTTCAAGCTCATTGGGGACACGCCCATCGACACCTTCCTCATGGAGATGCTGGAAGCCCCACACCAAATGACTTAGGCCTGCGGGCCCATCTTTCGCACCCGCCCAGTCCGGCCACTCCGCCTGGACGCAGCTGCTCTTCTCAGCCTGAGCCCTGACCCTGCCCTTCTCTGCCTGGCCTGTTTGGACTTTGGGGCGCAGCCTGTCACTGCTCTGCCTAAGAGATGTGTTGTCACCTCCTTATTTCTGTTACTACTTGTCTGTGGCCCAGGGCAGTGGCTTTCCTGAGGCGGCAGCCTGAGTGGCAAGAACTAGAATGAGCCCAGCCAGGCGCCTCCCCACCGGGCTCTCGGGACACTCTGCCACACCCCACGGGGCTTGGGTGGCTCACAGGGGTCTCCTGGCTCCGGGCCCAGGAGCTGCAGGAGTTGGGAACAGGGCCTCGGTTCCCATTGCTGTTGAGCGATGCTGGTTTTCAGAATTCCCGGGTGGCCCTCCTGTCTGGAGTGACGTCTTCGCCTGCCCATGACAGCTCCCCTTAATCAGGAGGAGGGGACAGCTGGGGGCACAGGCTGGCTCGTCATCAGCCAAGACCTCAGCCGCCTTGGGGATGAGAGGGGCCAGCAGGCTGCCCTGTGCTGTGAGTGAAGGGAGAGTAGCGTCTTTTTCCAAAGATAACTTGCGGTGTTGCCCTCGAGCCAACAAGAATATGAGCCGACCTCTGTGCAGGGTTTCAGGGCCACCTCCAGGCTGCAGGGACGGGTGTCACCCCCTTGGTTTTCTCTCTGCCTTGGTGTCCTGGCTTCAGACTCCCCCTTCCTGTTGAGACCGGAGTGCCTCGGTCCCTCCCCAGCCTGAGTCTTCTCGCTCTGCCAGGTGGGCTGAGGCCTGTCCTTGGTTCCTGTGGAGCTGGCCCTGGCTGGGCAGGATGGGGCGTCACCACATCCCTGGCCTTGCTGGAAACACAGGGCTCTGCTGACCTGCAACCATCTGTGAGGCCCGTGTGGACGGGAGGGGAGCAGGGTGGCCTCGAGAGAGGGGCTCAGGAACTGGGACCTCGTGGCCTGCATCGGTGGGACCCTCACTCAGGCCTTCTCTCCGCTACCAGTGTGTCTAAAAGACTTGGAACCTGAGAACCCTGAGTCACAGTGCCCTTGGTCCTGGGTCATACGCAGGCCCTGGTGAGACCACCCAGCTGGTGGTGTCCAGAGACAGCATTGCTCACCTAGAGCCTTACTTGGGAGCCTCACCAGGGCGGGGGGCTGAGGGCCTCCCCGGCTCAGCCCTGTGTGGCCCGGCGCTCCTCCCCCAGGCTCCCCTGTCCAGTGGTGCAGGGCTCTCTCAGGGTGAACTCGCCCCTTTTGCACTGGAAGGCCCTTCCTTTGGCCTGAGTACTTTTCCTGTTCACGCCTCAGTCCCGTGGACCCAGCCTGTCAGTAGCAGGTGCCTGAACAGCAGACGGGTGGGGGGATGCAGAAGGGGGCCTTGTCTTTCCAGCAGCAGTTTAGGAATGGAGTGGGGGAGTAGGCGTCTTCTCCAAAGGCTTTCCCCACCTGGAGCAGGGGAGTGTGGGGTGCCCCAGTAGGGGCTCCTCTGTGGGGAGGGGAGCTGCCTGGGGGGCTGGGCCAGAGGCAGCGGCTCAGAGAGGCAGCGTTCCAGCCTTGGTGGGGAGGAAAGTGTTCATTCTTTGCCTTCCTGGAGCTTCCAGCCAGAGCTCAGTTGAGGGACTGGGTGGAGCCTGCAGCTGAGTCTGCCCGAGACAGAGACTGTCAGAGATTCCAGAAGCCTCTCATTCCTGCCCCCCTCCATTCCTGCCTTTTAGTGGCGTGGATCCCCAGAGGTGCCCTCTGTCCAGCCACCATCCTGAGGCAGACTGACGAGCCTCACACCTGTAACAGGCCCCTGGCCAGCTGGGCCCCTTCCAGGCACTGCCCGGGAGCCCCGGCTGCCCCTGGAGCATGGTGGAAACTGGAGGGTGCAGGTGCTCTGGGGCCCAATGATGGGAGCCTGAGAGACCCCACAGCAACACCTGGTGCCTTCTGCAGCCAGTGCCCGTCCGTTTGCGCCCAGACACTCGGGAATGCCCGTGGCTCCAGAGGAAGAAGCCCAGGGCTGGGGCCTCGGTTTTGGGGGCTCGGCTTCTTGGCAACCCTGCCATTTCCAGCTCTGGCTGCCTGTCTGTAAAGCACTGAGGACCCCGCCGTGGGCCGCCAACCCCTGAAAGCAGAACCCTGGCCTCCCCGGCCCCTGCAGCCTTCCCCACCAGCCCTCGTGGCCAGGGTTCTTCCTGCAGCCCTCCTGCCCCTTCTCATCGGCCTTGTGCTTGTACAACCAGTGCTGTTGGTTTGAAAAGGTGACTCGTGAGGAGTGTGGCTCGTTACTGAGTAGAGAGGTAGAGTTTCTATTTAACCAGACCTGTAGTAGTATTACCAATCTGGTTCAATTTAAGGTGATTTTTTGGTAATTATTTTGGTGGGACAATCTTTAATTTTCTAAAGATAGCACTAACATCAGCTCATTAGCCACCTGTGCCTGTCCCCGGCTCGGCCCTGCTGGATGAAGCGGCTTTCCCGCAGGCCCCCCTTCACAGTGGCTGCTTCCTGGGCCACCAGGGCACCCCAGCGCCTTCGGGTGTGTTCCTCAGCTGGTCACCTCCTTTCTTTGCCTTCCGATGGGGCTTCTGAGGCTGAGGAGTGAAGATGCCTCAGAGCCAGGCCACCCTAGGCTTCATCGGGTGTGTTTTGGAAGCCGGCCTGCTGGGACCCTCCACCCTAGGGCCTGTGTCAGCCACCTGCCCTCTGCACCCTGGAAGCACATGGGCTCTGGGAAAGACAGCCCTGACCTTCAGTGTTCCAAGTCACGGTGTTCCCCAAGAATTCTGGGCTGGCAGCCTAATGGCAGTACTGGAGAAGACCCTGAGCCTTTCCCCATGGGGCACCCAGGAGGGCCTGGCCGGCATGTGCAGCCTGTGGGTGGCCGGCTGATGTCCACGCTGTGGTCAGGGTGCGTGACCTGGTGCCCATCCATGCAGGTGTGTGGTGTAAGCATGTATGTGCTGTACAGATGTGTGTGGAGAGCCACGCACCAGGGCCACGGAGAGGCGGAGCAGTTACCAATGTTTCGTGTTTATTTTTAATCAAGACGTTTCCCCTGTTTTCCTATAAATTTGCTTAGTGTAAGCAAGTACAAAAGGACCCTCCTTTGGTGAAATCCGGGTTCGAATGAATATCTCAAGGCAGGAGATGCATCTATTTTAAGATGCTTTGGAGCAGACAGCTTTAGCCGTTCCCAACCCTTAGCAATGCCTTAGCTGGGACGCATAGCTAATACTTTAGAGAGGATGACGGATACATAACGAGAGTAAAGATAAGAGAAAATGTCTAAAGCATCTGGAAAGGTAAAAAAAAATCTATTTTTGTACAAATGTAATTTTATCCCTCATGTATACTTGGATATGGCGGGGGAGGGCTGGGACTGTTTTGTTTCTGCTTCTAGAGATTGATGTGAAAACTTCCTCCGAGAGATGCCAGGGCAGACGATGGCAGAGGAGAGGACCCCTGTGACAGCGGCGAGGCTTGGGAGGAAACCGCCGCCGGGGGCATCTTCCTTGGGGACAGAAGGGTGGGCCTGAGGCTTTCAAGGGTTTTCTTCCCCTTTTGAGTAATTTTTAAAGCCTTGCTCTGTTGTGTCCTGTGGCCGGCCTTCCTGTGACTGACTGAAACGGCTTCCCCTACGATCGTCTGAAACATGGCAGCCACAGGTGCCAGGGTCTGATGGACAGTGGCATAGAATTGTGGGAAAGAAACACGCAAAGGGAGAAACGTGAGCGAAGAAACAAAATATGAGTGTTTAAAATACATCGCCGTTCAGTTCTTGTTTGTTCTGCCTGAGGACTTTTTTGTTTGTAGCCGGGGGGCCTGCGGGCAGCCCCCACCAGCCCCGCCTCCTCCCCACCAGGTCCTGTGGGCCACGCTCTGACAGTTCCCTGTTCACTGGGCTCTGCCGCTCCTCCCAGGGGCCTCCATGAGAGCACCTGTCAGCAGCCATGGGCACCATGCCTATGGGCGCCTGCACAGCTTGAGTATTCCCACCTCTCTGCCCGGGGCTGCCAGAGACCCACGCCTCTGCAGCCATGCTGGCCCGGGTCGGCAGGTGGTGCACCCAGAGGGCGCGGAAACACATGATGTCACCCAACTGCCCCAATAACAGGTTAATGCCACCCCCTCTGCACGTCTCCTGTGATAAGTGCCCTCTATCTCCACACTTGAGTGCTGGGCTGCTCCAGGCTGAGGTTTGGTGGTGGTGTCCTGAGCCCTCTCATGCACCTGTGTCCAGCCGGGCACCCTCCCCAGGAGGTACCAGACACACTGAAGATGGGGAGTGGGGCCTTGAGGGTCCAGGTCCTGCCCTGTGGTGGGCAGAGGGTAGTGTGGCCTGTGTCCAGAGCAGGGGTGACTCCCAGGTGAGACTCAAGATGGAACAGCCTGCCACCTCAAGGACACACTGTATTCACACACTTGCATACTCACACAGGCAGACATGCTCATGTGCACCCTTGAACCCATTCATACACGTGGACACATTCACACGCTCACACACATGCTTTGGCATGCACACCCATGCTCAACCCCCATGCATATCCATACACACTCCCCTGCACACACACCCATACAAGCTCATGTACACACACACCCTTGTGCACACACCCATACACGCTCCCCTGCACACACACCCATACACTCTCATGTGCACACTCACACCCTTGTGTGCACACCCATACATGCTATGTACACACTCACACCCTTGTGCACACCCATATGTGCTCGTGTGCACACATCCATACACGCTATCGTGCACACACCCTTGTGCACATGCCCATACACGCTCATGTGCACACACACCCTTGTGCACACCAATATGCTCTTATGTGCACACATACACCCTTGCACACACCCATACGTGCTCTCGTGCACGCTCACACCCTTGTGCACACCCATACACGATCATGTGCACAGTCACACACATGCATACACAACCACACATGCTCTCTTGAAAAAACACCCATACACACTCCCATGCACACACTCACATGAACATCACACTTGTGCTCAGCCCTGGAGGGGTCTACAGAGCAGTGGGGGTTGTGGGGGGCAGGGCTGAGTTAGCCTCCCTCGGTGGAGTCAGGACGCCACACTAACGTTCTCCCTCCTCCTGGGAGCAGTGGCTGTGCCCTGAAACTCGGCCACTCCCTAAGCCCCTGTGAATGGTTGGTGCCACAGGAGGCTGGACTCACTTTGCCATCTTAGGAGCTGCTGCAGGTCCAGAGGAGCCTCCCTGGGTGTTACACATCCTCTGCTGCCAGGGCCTTTGTTCTGCCCACCAAAAACAGCCTGGGCTTCTCCAGAGGGCCCCAAGTGAGAACGGACCCTGAGGGAGGGCGGAGTCCTGGAAGTACCCACCCACTCCCTCTGTGCCCCGCAGCCCTCTGCCGATCTGGCGTGGGGGCCCTGGCCCACCCAGGCTCCCTGCAGACAATCTTGCACACATAAAGCACGTGGGACCCTTCTGTGGTCTGGAAAGGGGGTTGGTCCTGGGGCCTTGGGAACTGGGATGTGGGCTCCGTGTTGCAGGGCCTCCCGTCCTGCTGTGGGTGTGGCTATATGGCTGAGCGCTGCTGTGTGAGACAGCAACACAGGTTGGAAGATGGCTCTGTGCCCTGGTGGTCCCCTGGACGTTAGGCACAGTCTCCATGGACACCTATCTTCGGGGTGAGTGAGGGAGCCCTCAGAGTTCTTAGACCAGGGTGCAGGGACAAAAGGGGAAAGCTCAGGTGTGTGGGTGCAGGAGACAGACCCCTTGGGGCTCCAGGAGAACCCCAGGAAGGGGAAGCTTCCTCATGGGTTCCCAGGGCCTTGGTGCTGGTTTTAATAATGGAGCAAGGAACTACATGGGACTTCCTGGGGTAAGCGTGGTGGGGGAATTTGGTGCCCCTCCAGGGACATGAACGCCACCCCCTGCTCCTACCAGCCAGGCAGAAGCTCCAGGCTGCTGGCTGGCATGGCATCACAGGACACCCCAGCCTTGGGCCTCCCTGCGGCATCTGGTTGCCATGGCGACTCCTGGCCAGGGAAGTCCCTCTGGACCAAAGATGCTGGGCCTGATAAGTTCATCACCAGCACGCTCAGGCGGTGACAGCCAGTGTGGGCTGGGGGGCTATGAATTGAGAGGCATGTGAGGGCGGGGCTTAGGCACCTGTGGTGGGGGCAGGGACACATGGCTCTTGGATGGGTGTTACTGAGCTCCCCATGCTGCTGTCTGCCGTTGGCCAGCAGACAGAGTGATGGGAGGAAGGGCATGCATGGGGAATGGGGTACATCCTGGGAGAACAGAGCAGGCCCTCATAGAGACCCTGGTACAGGCAGTGCACACTCAGGGTGGAGGAGGGGGCCACTGCTGTGCCTGAGGACATCTGCACCTGGGTGGCCAGAGGAGGTCAGGGAAGCCTCGGGGGCCTCAGGAGGGAGGGGCTGGGTCGTGGAGACGTCGGGAAGGGCCATGTGGTGCCTGCGTCCCAGACCCCGGATTCTTGGAGGGGCACATCTGCCCCCCGGCAGAGACTCAGCATCTGGGCAGCCACATCAAGTGTGGCTTTTTCCACCTGCCCTTCTGCCCTCTGCACAGATGTCCCAAGGGAACCTGCAGCCCCCAGAGCCGCGTCCGCACCCTGGCAGAGGCCCAAAAGGAGCCTGAGGTAGGCAGGTCCCATCCCACCCCCTCGGTTATAACTCAAGGCCGTCAGAGGGTGCTGGCCCCCAGGACAGATGCACCGTGCCCGCTGTGGGGCTGGTGGTGTGAGGCAGCCCTGCCCCCTGCTGGCGATGCTGGGACAGCGCGGTGCTCTTGTCCCTTCTGGCTCCTCCAGGCCAGTGGGGGCCACAGTGGCTTGGGCAGCGGGAATGATTCCTGAGTTAGAATCACCCGGGCACTCTCCCACCCGGCCACACCCCTGCTCACTGCAACAGGCAGTCCAGGCAGGAGCCGGCTTCATCCGAGTTTCACCCAGATGCCTGGCGGTCAGCTGTGTGAGAAGCTGGGCATACAGTGCTGCTACTGGGTGGCAGGTGGGCTTGGCCTGCAGCAGGGGCAGGGGCAGGGGCAGGGAAGGTGAGGGCGGAGTGGCAGGGAGGGGGGGGTGGGCCCTGCCCTCTCTGCCTCAGTTTCTCCATCTCCACAATGAGGACACACTCCCCACTTTCCAAGGCTGTTGTGACCAGGGCCTTGGCCACCCAGAAAATGCTTTACAGCCGCCACTTCCTCCCTTCTTTTGGCATGAAGAGGCTCTAATGCAGGGCATGGGGGGAGAGGCCGGGCAGACTCAGTCCTTTGCTCCCAGGACAAAGGGTGGACAGCAGGAACCCTTGGAGATTTGACCTGGGATCCACCTCTGGGCAAGGCCAGGACCGTGGGCCTGGGTTCCAGGGCCTGGGGGCCAGGAGGTGGCATCATGGCTCTTGCCCACTATGGGGGATGGGGGAGGTCAGGTACCACAGTGCCTTCCAAGGTGAGCAGTGGAGTCCTTGAGGTCCAAGGGCAGAGCAGAGACCCCTGTGTGGGTCAGTGGGGGCACTGGGGAAGCACCAAGGGGGGACTCAGTGGTTTTCCTTCCTTCCCCCTCCCTCTTTCCCCCACTTCCCGTTCCTCCATCGCTCCCTCCATTCTTCCCCCTCCCTTCCTCCTTCCCCCTTCCTTCCTTTTCCTTCCTTCTTCCTTCCCCCTCCTTTCTTCCTCCTCCCTCCCTCCTTTCCCCCTCCCTTCCTCCCTCCTCCTTCCCCCTCCCTCCTTTCTTCCCCTTTCCTCCCCCTCCCTCTTTCTTCTTTCCTCCTTCCCTCCTTTCTCCCTCCATCTTTACCCTTCCCTCCCTCCTTCCTCCCCCTACTTTCTCCCCTTTCCCCCTCCTTCCTTTCCCTTCCCTCCCCCTCCCTCTTTCTTCTTTCCTCCTTCCCTCCTTTCTCCCTCCATCTTTACCCTTCCCTCCCTCCTTCCTCCCCCTACTTTCTCCCCTTTCCCCTTCCTTCCTTCCCCCTCCCTCCTTCCTTCCCCTTTTCCCTCCTTTCCTCCTTCCTTCCCTCCTTCCTTCTTACTTCTCCCTCCCTCCTTCCTCCCTACCTCCTCTTCCCTCCCTCCTTCCTCCTTCCCTCCTTCCTTCTCCCTCCCTCTTTCCTCCCTCCTTCCTTCCCTCTCCCTCTGTCCTCCCTCCTTCCTTCTCCCTCCCTCTTTCTCCCTCCTTCCTTCTCCCTCCCTCTTTCTCCCTCCTTCCTTCTCCCTCCCTCTTTCCTCCCTCCTTCCTTCCCTCTCCCTCTTTCCTCCTTCCTTCTCCCTCCCTCTTTCCTCCCTCCTTCCTTATGTCTACCTCCTTCCCTTCTTCTTCTTCCTTTCCCCTCCCTCCTTCCTCCCTACCTCCTCTTACCTCTCTCCTTCCTCCTTCCCTCCTTCCTTCCCTCTCCCTCTGTCCTCCCTCCTTCCTTCTCCCTCCCTCTTTCCTCCCTCCTTCCTTCCCTCTCCCTCTTCCCTCCCTCCTTCCTCCTTCCCTCTTTCCTTTTCCTTCTTCCCTCTGTCCTCCCTCCTTCCTTCTCTCTACCTCCTTCCCTTCTTCTTCTTCCTCCTCCCTCCCTCCTTCCTTCCTCCCCCCTTCCCCCTCCATTCCTTCTTCTTTCTCCCTCTCTTTTCCCTCCCTCCTTCCCCCTTCCTCCCTCCTGTCCTGGAATCAGCCATTTCTCCAAGGAGCCCGGTCCTTTTATTGGAGAAGGGCTTTAGAAACCAAGACCCGGGCGCCAGGGTGTCCACTGCTACCGGGAGGTCTTGGTTCCTTTGTGTCTCT